CGTCGCAATTGGGTTATCTACAACGAAATGTCGTCGCAATTGGGTTATCTACAACGACTGAGGAAAATGCTGTTGTAATTGCTAGTAACAACTACAAACTTATTGCAACGAATTCTAGAGGCATATGGCACATGACACAACACTTATATATTCATCATTTCTTGGATTCCCATGTTTACATGAGGCTTCTCTTTGATCAGGAGTGTTAGTAAAACCCTGACAGTTGTATACTTATTTGTTTGTATGATGGAAGATGGGCATATGATATGATAGTAGCAAGTAGCATAGAGCTTATGAATCACATATTTATTACTTAATCCTTATCACCATGACATTGACATGTTGAAAAGCCTCAAGGATAAAAATTCCTTATAGGAAAGAAATATCAATATGTTGTTACAAAAAAAACCATCACAGGTGCAAGTAACACATTTGTTCACCATAGGACATCCTTGTAAGCTTTTTTTTCTTCATCTGAGATCCAAACTTGTTCAATTTGTACATGAAAATTAAGATTAATGTTCATATTGCTGGTTCCAATCAAATCTCCAAAACAATATCTGCACCCATGACATAATATAATATAGATTCAGCTAAACCATTAAAATCTTATTAAGGTACAAGAACTCAAGAAGTAGGAAAAGCTTGCTTACATTCAGAATCTGTCTTAACCCATGTGCTGCTTCCTTCATAATCATCCTCTGTCTCAGAGATTTCATCATCCATGGATATGTCTTGACTGACCAAGTACTTGTTTGGCAATGGCTTGGAAGCAGAACTTTGGGGATGTATCTTCTTGTTCAGTACAGCTCTCAATATCTGCAATCAGGTCGGGTTAATGTTTCCAAACACTTCGATCATTTTTTGTGCATTTAAAGGTGTAAAACAGAATTACAGATTGTTGGTCTATATATACCTTCTCCATTCTTGACTTGTCGAAGGTTGGGTGCAAGGAGTCATTTATATTGTTAAACCTATTCCTGGATGTGAAGAATTTCTTAAGGAGAAAAGTCAGCGACTTCTTTCTGATGACATTTTTATGATCCACTAAAATGCCCGTCATCCCTCTAGAGGACATGCCAGAGATGCTACGTTGCACACATATGTCCCTATTTACAACCTCCTCACATGGAGGTTCATGAGCTTCTGATTCTTCAACTGATTCAGATTCTTCAACGTCCAAAAAAGAGATTAGTTCTTCTTGGATGAGTTCCCCAACTTCTTCGGAACTTTCCCTCTCTGGATCTGCTTTCAAGTTACTAATTCCAAATGTCCCAATCGCCAGCAGTGATTGAGGCCAATCACTAAATTCTTCTTTCGAAGTTGCTTGCACCATATGATCTACCAAATATTATATCAACAATCAGTTCATATGCATACATTGTCTTCTTCATGCAATGTCATAATCATCTTCATGCATATACACTCACCAAAAACGAGCAAAAAAACTTAAAACGAGGGAACGCTTACGTGTAATTGGCTTTCTAGCAGCTTGCTTGGCGTTCAACTTGCTTTGCATCCAATTGAATATCTGAAATGAAACGCATATAAGTTTTAACTGAATACAATAAGCACTACCCAGAAAGTTATTACCCTAATTACCTTCATTGTTAACGAGCTCTTTCAAGCTAAAAAAGGTGGCACTTCAGATTACAGGGAAGATTCAATGAATCCAATTGAACAACCACAACTAAAGCATGAAGCTTAAGATTATTTATATATTGGTAGGATTAAGGACAAGTTTCACTGCACTCCAAGTTGGTTGGTTTCCACCGGTTCAAGTTCCCATACCTCCCTTTTTGCCGCCCTTTTTTAATTTATCTTCTCACTTTATTTGAACCCACATTTTCAACTACTCTTTTAGTATGGTTCTGGTCACACATATAGCATACACAGGATCTTCGTGGTCAAAATTTTTTACACAAGAGTGTGCCCAAGTGTAATACTCAATATATATACAACCACATATATATATATATATATATATATATATATATATATATATATATATATATATATATATATATATATATATATATATATATAAATTGGCCAACAAGATCTATTTCTTTACTCAACTTGTCTATATCCCGTTATAATATTAAAGAAGAATATTTGGTTTTATAAATATAAAAGAACTAGGATCCAGAAACAAGATCATGAAGACCCAAAAATGATCATGTATGTATCTAGACACACGCACTTTGATACAAAAATGGAAAAAGAAAAAAAATCTAATAGCTAGCACAATTGACATGTACATGACTCGAGCCATGTGCTCTTAATTAGAAAAGCTACATGCATCCATATGGATGATATTTCAAACACCAGCATTTGTTTTTGGATTATTAATTATTGATGCAATAAACATTTGCCATTGGATAGGAAGAAAGGGACTAGGCGAACAAGATGATGTAAGGCATGCGCAACGTATGAGAGACAAGAAACTAAGATCCAAAAGAAAAACAATAACACCACCACTTCACAAGGAAAAAGCATGGGACTATGAGTTTATTATACACGATATATGTACAGTTTAGATTCCCATATGAAGATGTTTCTCGGCCTCATTAGTCGGCTAACTTTTTTTCCGTATAAAAACAGCTACAGAAAACCCCACCATTACTAATTAATTAAATGAATTATATATCGAAAGAGTTTAATTAATTGATTTTTATTTGCACTGACGTGACAATGTCATATGTATGTGCTGATCAATGCCTCAAAGTCCAATAAATATCAATAGCGTTGCCGATAATCTTTCATATACCACAAGACAAGGAATACCAACTAAGAGGCACGTGAAGCTGTCCATACACATGCATCTACAGGTTCTTCTCGACATTCCTATTTCTGCTATCACCCATGCAACTTGGTTGATCGATAGATCTAGCTAATTTGCTATGCGTATCCAGCTGACAACATTGTGATTTATGTTCATCGTACAATGTCTGACCAACACCTGTGTCAATCAAATTATATAACATATTTCACTGTACCCATTGGTTCCAAGAGAACGGGTACCCAAACACCATGGATAACACCAATCCCATTTATCTAATCCTCTCTCTCTCTCTCACTCCTATTGGTGAAAATATGGTTTCCATACATCTTTTACGATTTCCAATCAATATTGTAGATTATCTATGTCTCCCAATCTCATAAAAACAGTGGACCCATCATCACCCATCCCAAAGTTAATGCTAACTCTAAGTATTTCTTAATTAATCTTTTGATCCAATCACATATCATCTAAACTAGTAGCCCAATCATAATCCGGCATATGTTAGTTGGAGCATTAATCTTTGAATTGGTCTTTTTAGTCTCCTGGGTTATGTTGAAACATTCCTTCTAGAGTCTGTGGTCCATCAACTAGTTCTCTTTTTAGAGTAAAAGTGTCATCAAGTTATTCAAATAATACTAATTCTAGCTTAGAGATGAGTCATAACATCAATGGTCCACCAGCAAGTCTAGTATCGTAAGATCTTGCATGCTCATTTTGGAAACATCCTGTCCAATGCTTCACGTGCACATGATCCCATCGATAAATAATTCTAGAGGTGTATATAGCATTTATCACCAAAAATGGAATATTTGATTTCATGGAACATCCATCTATAATAGAATCGGTAAGATTGAACTTTCTCACCAAGCAAATAATTAAGGAATATTAAAATCGTCATACAAAATTAATCTCACAGCCTAAAAGTCAAAAACATGCATATGCCAAGGATTTCACAGCCAAATTTCTCGAGATTTAGACCAAATGGCTTTGGAAATGAAAATACATGTCTCAAGTTGAATCAAGAAACTCTAGTCAAAAATAAACGCTTGATCACGCAAACCCACGTCATAAAGCTTAACAAGGGTAAACGCCAAAATAGCTGTAAAACAGTAGTAGAGAAGACACACCACCCCATCCCAACTTCCACCCACAGAAAGTCAGGAACTAAACCATCTAGGAAGGGCCGCTGTTCAAAAAAATAAAATAAAAACTAGGAAGGGCCCCATTAATCATGTCGCCACGTGCATGCATGCATACATTTGTCTCCAAATAAAACTCTAAGTATCATTTAGAAAATGGTTATTCAGTAATCACTAAAGTAAATGGGACAGAGAACGCTTGACTATTTCTTAGGATATATTACAAATTAGCAACTCGTTTTTTCACCATCACAAAATAGTTTTAAACCCATGAGAAAAATTGGGGTTTGCTAAAGAACATCATATTTTACCTTTAGACACCCTAATTAATTTCTAAAATATTTTTTATTTGTTGAAATTATATTATTTTCTAAAAAAAATAAATATATAGATAATTAATTATAAGTTGACTTTTTATAAAAGTATCTATGAAGTTTCTTATTAACAGCTACCCATAAAATTTGACGCTAAATTGTGTGTGAATTAGTTTAACAACGGATTAGCAACGAGAAGTTGTTGTGTTATATGGTGGCTACTACGATAAACTTTACTTTTCATCAATGTAGAAACCAAAATTTAAATAACCAAAAAATGAAGGATTCGAACAAATCTGCATAGGAAGTTTATAGAATGCTTCTGATGCTTCGAATTAGTGAACGGAATTTTAGCGACAAACGACGGTACTAAGGGCTTCCACAATGCATTGAACTCTATAGAGTTTAATGGATTATCACATCATCTTTCTACAATCCATAGAACTCTATTATTTTTTCTCTACAATGCATTGAACTCTACAAAGTTTAATATAATGTTACAAAATGTAATTTAAAGTAAATATTTAAGAATTAAAAACTTTTATTTTTACCATTGAAGAGTTCAACTATCACACCCCCAAACCGGAACGGCGGAAACGTTCGGGGGCGGAGGCGGCATGTTTAGTATCACAACATATGTATCATAGTAATCATAGTAACAAACAACCATTGTATTAATATTAAAGTGTTTACAAACTAGTGATTCACAAAAGATTGAATCCAAAAGTAAATAACAAAATAAGACATGAAGCTACTATACTTCATCTTCTGAATCCCAGTGCGCATACCTGTCTGCTAGTTTCCTGAGAATACAAGTTATTTTAAAAAAGTATATTAGCATTTAAGCTGGTGAGTTCATAAGTATTTTAGTGATGTAAAGTAAGTTGAAAGTTCTTTTTAGAAAAGTTCGTCTGTTCCTTCAGAATATCCTATATCTTCTGATATGATGAAAGTTAAGTAAAAATGACTTTACAGTCCTTTCTATGACTACTAAATGGATACAAGTTATATAAAATCAGAGTAACAAATAATCGGTTGTGTGAATCTGTCCTAAGCCCACAACCAAACAAGGAACAGGAAATGAGGCGGAAGTCACACATCCCATTGTTTGTTAAATCTTCGCTGTATATAACGCTGACGTATTCATTTGGTACTCACGGAGTTAACTGTAATAGTTCCTTTATATTATAAGAAACATTCTTTAAGAATAACCCTTATTTTCTTTAGTAAAAATGGTAACCACAATAGTTCCTCCTATAATCAGTTAGTTTGCACTAGCTATATATAATCTAATATCGAACAGATAGTTAATTGTGTGAATCTGCCCTAAGTCCACAACCAAACAAGGAACAGGAAGTAAGGCGGAAATCACACATCCAACTACCTATCGAATATTAATGATATATAACCCTCATGCATAAACTACAGTATTATAGAACTAACCACTTAAGGTCCTTTAAGTTATACTGGTTTAATAAAATGGATTAAACCTTTTACTGAAAAGTTTCTATTTTAGTTTACTCAATGTTCTATCGTTTGGACGACTACTAGAAGTAATGAAATCCTGTACTCTTAACGCCTCAGTCGATACTGTTGTGAGTTTTGTATATATTTATATGTTTTATTTATTATTGTCTGGTACTTTGCAGATATACCATTTATAAATAACTCTGATTTGATTTATTGTTATTACCTCGTGTTTGCTAACCTTGACACATTGTATTTGCACCTTTGTTAAAGCAAACCCGGTAAGATATATTAATAATTCATGTTTGCTAACCCTGGTACGTTGTATTTGTACCTTTTTTAGTGCAAACCCGGTATGATATGTTGTGACATCCCTAATTTCACGGTAAAAAAAGACCGATTTGGTTATGCTTTGTTTTTAAAAATCAAAGTAATCTTTCAAAGAAAACAGTTGCGGAATTTATTCCCAAAACAAAATATGATAAGAATTTATCAAAGCATTTCTTAAAGAAATGTATTTTCATTATATAACAAATATCGGGATGTCATGTTCCGATACAGACACATAAGCATAAACAGATGATACATTTATTTACACTAGTGATTTACATCTCCTTTAATCTCTCAGTGAAATATGTCTTCGTATTGATACTTGTGATACAAGAAAACTGAGTGGGTCGGGCTTGGGAGCCTAGTGAGCATATAAGGTTTTCATCCCACAATGTTATATCATATATTTATATAAATAGAGCATTCAAACTTGTACAATTTCACCATATAAATGCAACTCTTATCCCACCCCATCGATCCTCACAACGACACGATGTAAACTCTCGTCTCTAAAATTTTCTTCTTTACTAGATCCCTACTCACGGATCTAAAACTATCCTCTTCACCCGATCCATACTCATAGATCTAAAACTAACGTTTTCACATGATCCATACTCACGAATCTAAAACTAACCTTTTCCCCTAATCCACACTCACGGATCTAAAACTACTTGATCCATACTCACGGATCTAAAACTAACCTCCTCTGATCCATACTCTCGGATCAATAACTGTACCCAATTCATACTCCCGGAATAGGGACAATTAACTATACCTTAATCCTGATCTAATTCATACTCCCGGATCAATAATTGTGCCCAATCCATACTCCCGGACTAGGGACAATTAACTTAGTCTTAATCCATATATGATCCATACTCTCGGATCTATAACTGTGCCCAATCCATACTCCCGGACTAGGGACAATTAACTTAATCTTAATCCATACTCACGGATCTAAAACTAACCTCTTGATCTGATCCATACTCACGGATCTAAAACTAACCTTTGATCTGATCCATACTCACGGATCTCATCTACCCATGTCCTACCCAACATATTTGTAGATATAAAATACATATACAGTTTAACTCATTTAAAAACTATATAAAACATCCATTCCACACTCATCTCAAATAAACAATAATATATAAACATATAGCACGTTTTCATAACAAATACTTCATATTTATATGTTAGACGAGAGTAACCACACACTCACTTGATCAGAAGATGATCAAACATCACTACGACTTGTATAAGTAGTATTCTTCGGTAGATCTGGAAGATCTTCACAAAAACCGGGCTTCTCGCGGGCAAAGCTTCAGCTCGGGAATCTCACTTCTCGGGATCTTCGGGCTTCGGGACTTAATTCGGGTCTCGGGATTAAATCGGGGCTTCGGGGGTACTTCGGGATGGCTATGGAGGGTATCAGGAGTGAGAGAGAGGAGTTGGAGCAACCCCAAACTCGGTTGACCCTTCAGATCTATTTATAGGGTAAAATTTGCCCTTGCCATGTGGTGGTACGGTTTACCACGTCGTGATGGTTGGGTCGTCACTGCATGCGTCATTGCAAGTGGGTCTGACAGACTCCAGAGCTCCTGCCACGTCGTGGCACTTTTACCACGTTGTGGTGGCTGATAGTTTTGGGGTTTCGCGCCCCGAACTTCAGAAATTCATAACTTTCGCATACAAACTCCGTTTTCGATGTTCTTTATATCGACGCGTAAGTAAGAATATGCTCTACAACTCTTGTTTAGACTCTGTTGGCTAATTTTGACTTTATTTTTAATATATTATAATACATTACTTTTATATTATTTTTAGTAGGCCGGGACAGGAAAACTCCGTTATAAATTCATAACTTCTTCATCTGACGTCCGTTTTCGCCTATCTTTTTATCGTTCCACTACTGTCGATGATATCTTCGGTTCTCATTTAGATTTTTTCGGCTATAAATCACTCGATCTCAAATCGAGGCTTCGGGCTGCATACTGCTAAGTCGAAACTTCGGGAAAATCATAACTTCCTCATACGAAGTCGGATTTGGGCGTTCTTTTTATGCACACTTTCAGTTTAACGTATTCACCAAACTTTGTTTAGATCGCTATGGCTAAATATTTCTCTAACATAAATTCACTTTTTGCGTCATTCAGTGTCGTGCCGGTTCTGTTGCGAAACTTCGACGGGTCATAACTTCTTCGTTATAACTCGGATTTTGGCGTTCTTTATATGCACGGAATCCTTGTAACATATACCAAAACTTAGTTAAGATTACTCATTCTAAATAATATTCCATCAAAAAGTCATTTTTGACGCTTATCGTCTCTAAATTGACTAGCCCGGATCTACAGGCGTTACATATGTTATCACCTCGTGTTTGCTAACCCTGGTACGTTGTATTTGTACCTTTGTTAGTGCAAACCCGGTAAGATATGTTATTAATTCTCTTTGCTAACCCTGGTACATTGTATTGGTACCTTTGTTAATGCAAACCCGATATGATGTGTTATCACCTCGTGTTTGCTAACCTTGGCACGTTGTATTTGTACCTTTGTTAGTGCAAACCCGGTAAGATATGTTATTAATTAATTTGTTATAAACAATGAGTTAAGGATACGATGTCTTCCTAGAATATTAGGAATATATATATATATATATATATATATATATATATATATATATATATATATATATATATATATATATATATAGTATAAGTGTGTAATTCATGATTTGTTCTTATGTTATTGTAATAGTATGTTCCTCCCTGAACTAGTTATAGTATACTCCTCCCTGTACTAGTTATAGTATGATCCTCCCTGTACTAGTTATAGTATACTCCTCTCTGTACTAGTTATAGTATGCTCCTCTCTGTACTATTTATGAGGGCTTGGATCAAGAGGTCTTTCAAGTATAACAAGTTTAAGGATGAAACACTTACATTTTTTAGGCTTTGGAGGGTTCACGATTGAAGCTAGTTGAGAGAGAATGGAGTTGTGTGCAGCCCAAAGAAGAAAGGAATGAAGAAAACGAAGTGATCTAATATATATATATATATATATATATATATATATATATATATATATATATATATATATATGTATGTATATATAGGGGAGGGTGCCCGGCCATCTCGAGTGTACGGTCGTACACCCATGTGTGCAGCCGTACACACCTATTGATGGTGTGTTTAGCTTGAATGAAATGTGATGTACTCAATTTTACTCATCCCTAAACCCAAGCCTTGAATGCACTAGGCTTAGAACACTCAAACAGACCCTAAACAATGCTAAAAGATAGCAGGAGCGAGTTTGTCTTTGGATTGATTGGCTAGACTTATAAGGCAAAAAAAAATTCAGGTTGTCACATAATTGTCATTGAACTCCAAATCCATTGAATGCGTAGGTGGTATCTTATAATGGTAAAGTATCATCCATTGAATGACATATGGACTTGTCACCTTATTCAACTCTCCCATTAAACTCACCATTATACATGCTTTAATAAGAGACGATCCATATATTTTCTATTGTATAAGTGTTGGATTAGCAGTGGATATTAATTTATCTATATATTTCTATAATGCAGAAAAAAGTAATCATAACAAGCAACTGCAAAGTTTTGGTATCAACCACGACCTAGATTTCGAATGTTTTGGTGAGGGCAAAGTTTCTAATCCTATAGGCTACAACTTATTTTAATGATTGACCTAATATATATAGGGTTAGGTTATTGTGTTCTATCTATTGTGTGCATGTACGATTGATTGTGGACCAATCATTTTAGATATTTTAAGAAAGTAACTAATACATATTTAATACTAAAGATATAATGAATATTAATTACATCTCCAGTATTTAATATGTATTAATTACTTTCTTTAAATAGGTAAAATGATTGGTCCACAATCAATCTTACATGCACACAATAGATAGTAGAAACATGTGAACCTAACTCTGTCTCTCTATGTCTCTCTCTCTCTCTCTCTCTCTCTATATATATATATATATATATATATATATATATATATATATATATATATATATATATATATATATATATATATATATATATAGAGAGAGAGAGGAATGATCATTTGAGAACTCGTATATTCTTGAGAACGATGCTTTATGGCATTTTTGTAAATACATGGGAAAGAAAAGGTGCGGGAGTATGCTTTTTGAAAAAGAATTGGGGCATTTTAGGAATGAAAAAAAAATAACATAATTCATCAATCGGATTGAATCAATCTGCCTCTACCCTATCTCTCTCGCTCTCTTCATCCTGCTTCCCTTTGATCTTCATTCCGCCTCTGGTTTATATGATCACACCTAACAAATCTGCATCACTTTCCTCCGCCATCAAGCTTCATTATCTGAGTAATCCTTCACTTGATGTTGTTGATTGAAGGCAACCACCTCTTTAATCATGGATGATGATTAAGAAAGAAATTGTCGATATTTAAGCTTCATCATCTGAGAACGTGCAGTGAATAGAACTGATTTTCAAGCTGATTTAATAATTTTTGATTAACACACAATCAATTTCTGCATTCGTTTTCAAGCCGATTTCTACCAGCCACCAGTTTCTACAATCTATTTATTCCCTCATGGTGTTGGATGATTTCAAACCTGGTATTTTTTAGAACTCTTTGATGTTATTATTCTTTTGATTCCAACTGATTTTGATGCTTGAACTACTTGCATTTACGATAATGATTCAAAGTTGAAGGATGAAAATGTACCTCCTGGTTATGATCCTGAACAGGATGTCGTCAACAAACCACAATCCAAATCGGCTAAGACAAATAAACGAAAAAATGAGAAGCGCTTGCAGGTATCGTAATCAGATCCCCAGTTTCACATGTTCTTTTTTTTGGATTTTTGGATTTTCATATGTGTTTATTTGATTCCGATCTGGGTAAAAATAAAGCTTCATCTACTGGAGACGAAGAACAAGCATTGGAATCTATTGAGTCGATTGCATCCCACATAAACGAGATCACTATTTCTAGAAAGCCATGTGTTTCTACTACTACTCCCTCAAATTCATTGGAATCACCATGTTTTCTTCATCAGACTCAGACTGATGAAGAAACTGATGAAATCGGTGAGTTTGTCACTTGTATGGGAGGATGTTCTTCTATTCCTAACGCATATTTGTAGAAATTCAGTATATGAATACATAACACATAGTTGTAGAATACATAATAGAATCCAGTTATGTATTCATTTTTGCAATCAAACCCCGTAATGGAATGGAATGGAATTCCATTTCATTACAATTCATAGGGAATCAATCAATTCTCTTATTTCTCTGATAATTTTGGTGAAAAAGTAGTTTACTTTGTTATGACTTAGTGTTGACTTTTGAGAGTCAACTGTTACAGGAGTCAAATGGTAGAAATATTGAGAAACAACAAGCATCCAAGGAAGATTTTCCAAGTCCACCTCCATTTTCAGGTTCATTTGGGGAAATCAAGCAAGAGGAGGAACATTCTCCCTTCCTAAATCTAATTATATGTCATCTACAGCTGACTCGATTAACTTTTTAGCTAAGTCGACTGTGGAGAAGAAGACTCCTGTTGTAGATTTGAAAGCAATTAATAAACAGGAGACCTCAAACCCATCTAGGTTTATTTCTACTTCCTCAATATATGTAAACTATATTGCAACATTATGTAATTTTCCTTAAAAAAAAGTTATTTGTTTTGTCTGATGAAATGTATTTGTTTTGTCTGATGAAATGTATTTGTTTTATCTATGTCATTTCAATGACATATATCTTTACTTTTGTAATTTCATGATGTTAATTAAAGTGTACTTTTATCTTCCAAAAATAACTAGAACTATATGTTTTATTATGACCGTTTTTGGGTTCTAATGTAAATAAAAAATGAATTAGATATAATTCTCTAAATTACAATTTACATCTAACACAGTAAAGTTAAAACTATATATTATATTATACATATCATAAAAAGTTAATATATAACATTACCTTTTTTTTTTATGTTTATTTATATCTTAATATCTTTTACTTTCTTTGTGATAGGAATGTTAGTGTCAAAACTAGTTCTCATATTACTCTATCAGGTACATCTCTCTCTCTCTCTCTCTCTCTCTCTCTCTCTCTCTCTCTTTTACCAGTAGACTGAAGAAAAGGAAATATATTTTCTTCTATTGTGTAATGTCATTTTTAGCAATATCTTTAATTGTTTTCTAATTATATGATTACGAAGATTGTAAGGAAAATGCCAGTAGGATCTATGCAACCCTCAAAGAGCTCATCCTTGGTATGATGGAGAAAGAATGGAATGTATCATTCCATTGGAATGGAAGATTCCTGAATGAATGTAATTCCTTCTATTTTCTGGAATTTATGAAGAGGAATAATTTTGTTAGCCCTAAAGTTACTTATGAAACAGCAACTGCTTTGCATGTACAGTTAGATGAATTTTAATAAATTCAACTATATATATATATATATATATATATATATATATATATATATATATATATATATATATATATATATGAGAAACTAATATCTTTCTCTTTGATAAAACTATTACAAAAAAAAAAAAAAAAAGATTTACTAATTTCCTGTATTTCTTCTTGCAGAATGTATCATTCCATTGGAATGGACGATTCTTGAAGGAATGTAATTCCTTCCAAAAATTAGAATTCATATAAAGATTAAATGCCTCATCAAAGTATAACAGTCATTTTTGTTTGGATTTTGGTCATTTTACATGAGGAAAAAGGTATATTTTAATTAATCTTTGGGATATTTTCTATTCCATAATTGATTTCTGATCCGGTGACCAATAAACTAATCCATTAGTATAATATATAATTATATTGAAGTATTTTGATTGCAAACTTTACATATGAATTACATGTGATTCACATGTAAATCACATGTAATTTACGTATGATTCACCTGTAAATCACAAGTGAATCACATATGAATTTAATTTATATATGATGTAAATCACATATGAATTACATGTGATTCACACGTAAATAACATGTAATTCACATGTGATTCACATTTTAATCACATGTAATTGACATATAATTCACTTATGATTCACATTTAAATCTGAATTACATGTGATTCACGTGTAAATCATAAGTGAATCACATATAAATTACATGTGATTCACATGTAAATAACATGTACTTCACCTACAAATTACATGTGATTTACAAGTTAATCATATATGAATTATATGTGATTCACATGTAATTCACACGTAAATCACAAGTGAATCGCATATCAATTACATATGATTCACATGTAAATCACAAGTGAATTACATGTGATTCACATGTCAATCACAAGTGAATCACATATGAATTACGTCTATATGCACACATGCATTTTGTGTAAGTGTTAGTTGTTAATTAATTTTTAAAATTTTCTTGTGAATTTCACATTTAAATCTTAAAAGATACAATTACATATGAATATCATATTATATAATCACATGTGAATCTTACATGATATATACATGTGTGTGTTCTTGCATTAATCAATTTTTTTTATTTTCGTGTAGATTTTGAAGAATTTTTGGAAAATATTAAAGATGTGAAAAATGATAAATTGAAAAAAATATGGAAATCTTGATCTGAAGAAATGATAACACTGTGCATCTTTGTAGTTTTTTTATATTTTATTTTGTATCGAATAAAATACTTGTATTATGTTTATAGATTGATTAATAAAAATGAGATTTTTTTATTATTACTTACGAATATTATAGTAAAAGAAATATGCATATATGCATTTGAAAAAATATGCATATATGCACCTAAAACGTTGATATTTTTATTAAAAAAATGTAGTTTTTCTAAAAAAAATGCAAAAATGCAGTTTTTTTGAAAAAAAAATATACGGTTTTTTTTTTAGAAAAATTGTTGTTTTTTTTTTAAAACAATGCAGTTTTTTTTTGGAAAAAAAAATGTTGTTATTTTTTTAAAAAAAGATGTAGTTTTTACAAAAAATATTTTTTTCATTTTTTTTGAAAAATTTATGTTTTTTGAAAAAAATTTAAAAAATCTCCATTTTTTAAAAAAATAGAAAAAAAAATTTAATAAGTCCAAAATTTAGAGTTATTTTGTTAATTTTTAGACATTTATATTAATATATTATATAACACAAAAATAAATTAAACATTAAATGAGATTGGTAAGATGACGATTATGTTCTTAACGAATTACTTTTGATCCAACGCTCCACTTCTAGTTCTCAGGTTCTCAGGAAACCTTCAATTCCCAACCGATCTCAACCATATATATATATATATATATATATATATATATATATATATATATATATATATATATATATATATATATATATATATATATATATATATATATATATATATATATATATGTGTGTGTGTGTGTGTGTGTGTGTGTGTGTGTGTGTTAAGGTATATTTGAGACCATGTTAATTTTGTGAGACCGTAAGACCAAATCTAAAAATAATTTTACAAAATAAAAGAAAAAAACAAAAAATTCTTTTTTTAATTATTATTTTCGGAACTTTATTTAACTAAAAAAATAAAAATAAAAATAAAAAATTACCGTTTTTTTTTAAATACGTGAAATATTCTAATAGAATATTACACTGTACATATTCTAATATGATTTTTAGAATGTTTAGAATATTATACTAGATTTTCCAGATATATAGAATATTCTAAATATTCTACTAAAATATGTAAAAAATATATTTTTTATATTTATTTTTTTATTTATTTTGATATTTTTTTTTGGAAAACATATATTCCAAAAATAATATTGGAAAAAAATATTTCGAAAATTTTCAATTATTTTGCATTTTAAAAATGTTTTTGTTTTATCTAATAAATGAGTCGCTATGATTGCGTCTCACGGTCTTACAAAATTAGGTCGTTTCACAATGAACCTAACCCTGTATATATATATATATATATATATATATATATATATATATATATATATACATATACATATATATATAGGGAGACGACCTAATTTTGTGTGTGTGTGTGTGTGTGTATATATATATATATATATATATATTGAAATGATCAAATAAGAATACCTAAAAGGTTGAGAACGCGAGAACAATTCTAGATCAATCATTATATAAAGGCATATTAGTAATTATTTAAATTAAATTATATAAACTTAGACACCACTTCCCATATATTTAGGGTCCATTTCCTATATATATATATATATATATATATATATATATATATATATATATATATATATATATATATATATATATATATATATATATATATATATATATTATTAATAAAAAAAATTTAAAATTATCATTTTTCTAATTTAAAAAATCAATTTTAATACCAGATGATTCATACAAATTCATTCATTAATGAATGAAAAATAATTTTTTTATAACTTCTAGGTTTTTTGTTTTTTAACTATGCTTTATTTAGATTTTAAAAAAAAAAATAATTTTATGTTAAATTCATTAATTATTGGAATGTACATAAAAATAAGCTTTTACATAATTGTTTAGAATTTTATTTGATCAGGTTATGTTAATCATGAATAATTATAAATAACAACAAATACTTTAATTAATAACTTACAATTAGAATAGGATAGATAAAAAAAAACTCAAAACAATTATAATCACAAATGAACAAAGCACAATACAAAGGTAAAAAAAAATTGAATACATGTGTAATCGCAAATGAATAATGAAAATGGGAAATTAAAAAATCAGTTGAAATCACTAAAGAATAAAACAGATAAAAAATATATCTAATACATTTATAATCATAAAAAACGATGTTGCGCTCATGATCGTTAATCTTGATGCTACCATCACACCAAAAAAACAAAGGCACATGTGATCTTTGTTATTCTTATATTCATACCTATGAAAAAAGCAAAGGCAAACAATTAGAAATATTTGAGTAATTTTCATGTATGATTATAGCTATATTCGTGTATGATTATTCCTGAAAATAATTCACAAACTATATTAATGTATATATGCATCTTCATTTATTCACAAATACTTGTATATATGGTTATAGTTATATTCATGTATGATTATAACTATATTCATGCATGATTATTCCAGAAAAAGGAAGGAAAAAAACAAAGCGCAAACAATTAGAAATATTTGAGTAATTTTGTTTGCATCAATACATATAAATTTGAATGTTCTATTGGTTTTGCTTGTCATTGAGGGTATAGCAAAATGTTAGCTTTGATTTTCTTTCATCGAATATTGTCAGAAAAAGAAAATCAAAGAAAAGATTGAGAAAGAATCGAGCAAACATTCAAGTTCCAGATTTCTTAATTCGAGCATTTCATCAAACACCTTATGTGTATAACTTATCTTCTTCCTCTATTAGCCAATTTAAATAAGTAAAGTACCGTACCTAAGAAACTTACACAAGAAAAAGAATTATGCCTCTTGAATCTGGATGTAGGTCTGGAATATTTGTAACCAAAACGATATGCAATCAAGTATTTGCTCGAATAGTAGGCAGGTCTGTACGTGTTGATCAATTTGAATTTGACATTCAATTTATATATCGAATTATCTGTATGCGATTCAAACAACACACTGGAAATCGAGATTCAGTTTGTTAGAAAACGATGGCATAATACTCTTCGATCGATTTGGAGTAGATCAAGAAGCTGAACACAAACGACTTTTTGCTTCCCCTTCTCAATATCTCTTTGAATCCTATTGTGCTATTCGCCACTAACAACCCAAATCGGCGAACATTTTTTCCTTCTCGATCTCTCTTTCTCTTTTTCTGAATCCTCTTGCAAGTGATGTTGTTTAGACCAGGGGATGGTCGGCTATGGTTGTCACAGTCGATGCATCTTATGAAACCCTAGAGAGAGGGGATATAGATATGAGAATAAGAAAGGCAAGAGGTGAGAGGGTGAGAAATTATAGGAATTAGGTAAAGCTGCAATTCCTGTTAGGCCCTTCTGACCATTCAAATGTTATACTTAAATGCCACTATTTTTAGAATTTTTCATAAATCCCTTATTTAATAGTAACCAAAGATCTTAGTATTTAAATAGTCCAGATATGTTCTCGCATTCTCAACCTTTTAGGCGTTCTCATTTGATAATACACACACACACACACACACATATATATATATATATATATATATATATATATATATATATATATATATATATATATATATATATATATATAGGGTGAGTTTCAATAGAGAACCATAATTAACCAAGGAACCAATCTTTTTTACAACTTTTAGAACTTATTTTTTTATCAAAAAAAAAAAAAACAAAAATTCATAATTTTTTTATCCTTTTTGTAATGATATCAAATTCGATTTTTTTTACGTCAAATTCACAATGTGGATTTTTGAAAATTCACAATGTGGATTTTTGAAAATTCACAACGTGAATCCGAAAAATATTTTT